AGGGCTCTTATCTAAGATCATCCGAGCATGGGCATATCCAGAAGACAGGAGACCACATTTTGGTTCAAACATCCAGCCAAAACTAACCCTGCAAACCCAATGCCACAGTGTTTTCAGAGCAGCCCAAACCATCCAAGAAACGCTGCTTTCATCGGAGGTTCCCAAAGCACGGCATTTGTTCCAATGAACGCCCAGGTACTAGCGCGTGTGTTGGGGGGACAGGAGAGACACAATTATGTCTGGCTCTACAGGGGTTCCCTCAACTAAATTCCCCCACCATCTAGCCACAGCTTTCAGATTAACCCTCGCCTGCCACGTCACGCTGCAGCTTGAAGCCCTGTTCACGGATCGACCCAAAGCTGCAGCCACTTTTCGCATCAAACCTTCTGCTGAGAATGTTTGATTCCTATCTTTAAAGGCAATACATGAGGGGCAATTCCTGGAGCAAGGCGTTCCTTGTCTGGGAAAATGCACTTGCTAGATCGGATGCCAATTTTACAGAGCGTTGTGCTGGGCAGACAGGACGGAGAGAGTCGGGGGGCGTTAGAAATGTCTAACGCGGCTCCCATTTCTCATCTGATCTTAAGAATACAGAAGAAAATGTATCAGAAAGAAAGAAAGAAAAACTCTTTCATGCAGGGAAGGATTTTATTTGCCAGCCAATAAAGTTTAATTTAATTTAATTTAATCCAATTTAATTTCCTTTTCTATCTATCTAGACAGGCATTTATTCTAGATTCTGTTGAAATCAAGCCCCTCTGGCCCCGTTTCTGTCCTGCATGTGTGTTCAGACATTCCCGGAGGGGGAAGTGCCTGAGCATTAGGATTCAGGGAGGATTTCCCTGAGTGCTTTCTCCACGGAGCCATGTCACACCTCTCGCGCTGACCCCTCTGACCCGGCCAGGCAGCCTCGTTGTGTGTGTAACGTACCCCGCACATACAAGCAGTGCACTTCACTCTACGCAGCACGCCCACCCAAGCCATTCTCTGGGCCCCTCTCTATAAATACGAGCCCGGATCCAGAAATAGACCAAAGGCCGAGTGCACATGGTGCCTGGGCACGGGCAGACGGTGAACACCGCCTGCTCGCATACCTGACGCATGACAGGTACACGCGGAGACAATCTAGTTCTAGTTTGGCCAGTTCCTGTGTTTGAAACGCCGGCGAACGAGCGAACGATTGCGCAATTCTCAAACAGAAAGGTCAGCGGAGCACCGTTCCCGCGGCTCTGCTAAGCCGATCCTTACTGCCTTGGCAATGATGCTTGGATTTGTAACCATGGTCCACAGACACACTCCCCCCCCCCACCCCCAAACGTGCGACTGCATCACAGATCTCCCCCAAACCCACCATCCCTGGTGCACATCGGATCAGCATTCCAGACCCTTCACCTCTCCAGGGCTCCCCGCGAAAGGCCACGGGTCGGGACATTTAACAGAACCCTCCTTCACAAACACTAAGTAGTTTAATTTACCATCTCGACAACAGAACCCAAGGATAGACCCTGCCCCCCGCTTCTCATGTTCATAACATTCCCGCTGCCGTCAGATTCAGGGTCCTGGTGCTCTCCTGGCCCCCTTCCCCTCGCCCCCAGAGCTTGGCTCAAGGCCGGAGGGGCCACAATGCAAAGCGCAGCTGAAGGTTTCCACGGGCTGCCCCTGGACAGAGGGTTTTACCGAGCTCAGGGAAAGCAGGCTGGGGTGTCTCGGGTATTTCTTTTTTAAAGAGCTCGGTTCTAGTTTATTTAGGGGCAGGTCTCTGGCCTGCATCATAGGGGAGTTGGGCTAGATGATCGTGGGGTCCCGTCTGGCTTTGGAATCGGTGAATGAGTGTAGGAAACAGCTCGAGATCACGCCAACATCACACCCATATAAACTAAAACATGGATCCAAAGTGTTCCCGGGATTCCTGGCCGGGCCCCCCCCATTACACACGCCCCCGTAAGGCGAGGCGTGGGAGCAAGTTCCTCCTTATTCAGTATTTGTCACTTGAGCCCTGCCCCTTGCACAGCTTCCACCAGGCCCTGAGCAACCCAGAGACCCGACCAGAAGCGGGGTGAGCAGCCGGCAGGCGTCGCTACCTCCGACCACAAAACCGCTGCCCACTCAGCGCAGAGAACCAACACGCGCATTGGCGAGCTGGAAACGCCATCCTTTCCATGTCTGAGACAAAGGGGGCCAGGTTCAATGGAGAACCCCCAGCCCAACGCCCCAGCGCTACCCTGCCCGCAGCGTAACTAGAAACCCCTCCATTGCCTCCTGGCCCCCGCCCTTCCGGCGTGAGAGGGACAGCTCTGTTTCCCCACACACAGCGCCTGGAAGCCGGGCCGGTGCCCAGTTCAGCTGCTTCCCGCTGAGCTCCTTTCTCTAAACACTCCAGACGCCGCCTCTCGGCTCGCTGAAAGCTGTCTAGCTACAACCGTGTCCGTCCCTCAGAGTGCGCTGCGGAGAACTCCTGGCCAGGAGCAAATCTGGAGAGCCAAGTACAGCGGGCATCGCTAGTCCCCTCACCTCCCCCGCCCCGGCTGTCAGTTGCCATCCGCCAGGGTCTGTCTAGCAGCCACGCTCCCTTATCTGCCCCCTCCATCTCCTTATCTACCCCAGCATCTCAAACACACAGCTCAGCTCCCTGCCTGCTAGATAAATAAGGTCAGCTCCGGCCCTGACTCCATTTCCTGTTTCCAGAGGGTGCGTTTCCTCGCTCTTTTCTGCAGGTGAACAGCAAACATGTTGGGAAATCGACCTCTAGGGAAGGGTGGAAGTTCCTTTTGGCCAGCTCCCGGGGGGAGCAGGAGCAGGCCTTGACCCTGCCCTCATCTCTCCTCGCGCCCAGGCCCCGAATCTGCAGCTGCCACTCAGGTACGTAATCCTCTCGCTCTGAAATCAACCGCAGTCCGGATTACCCGCACGGGGCTGGCCCTCGACCGAACAGCGCCCTGGGCGAGGAGCATCTTCGGGGCCCCCTCCCTCCAGGGGTTAAACGTTTGAATACTTTATTTTGAATTGCATTCGTAGCCCATGTCACCACTTTGATGCATGATTTGTATGCGTGATTTATCCCTCTCATATAAGATGCTAGTAACAAACAGCACCACGAACCTGGCGCCCCCTGAGCCTGGCCCCCACAGGTCACCTGCCCCTAAATCCGGCACTGGCCGCAGGCTCAGGCTCTTCCCAGCAATGGGAGCGCTCACCTGAGCAAGGATCCCTCAGAAGAGCTGCGGGTTTGGCCCCGGCTGCACACCAAGGCGAGGGTAACAGAACATCCACTTACAGAAATATAAGGGCATAAGTCCCTATATTCCTCCAGAAGTTAACGAGACGAGGCCGTGTGCTGTATTAACCAGTTCACGCTATCACTGGGCTAGCCGGGCCTTGAGAACAATAGGCCTAGCGACAATTAACCGGGAACAGGACCTTCCTAACTCAAGAGAGCGTGTGCGGTTTTACTGGCGGGATAAACAGAAGGCAGTTTGGGACTGGAGATATTTGAGAACAGCGCAGAGGAGACCTCTGACCCTGCAAACACTTACTCTGGAGAGGAAGGACTCCTTGGGGAGGAACGACTTATGGGTACCTAGCCCTGCACTTGCTAAAACAGTAGGAATTTTGTCCGCGTTTCCGGGGTTGGAAGCGTCACATCAAGGTCTCCAAAGTGCAAGGTAAAACAGCATGTTGTAATCAGACGATCATGCAAACCACAGCAACAGAGACAGAGCACCAGGGAAACCGACGGGGAAGTCCCTGCAGATTTCGAGGCAGGGAGCAGACAGTTTAGCCAGCGTATTACCCTAGATTCGCCTTCCACCACCAAACAAGTCACTGAATTTCCTGGTCCCGCCCTCTCCGTTCAAGTCAGGGTAAGGAAGCTTTCCCAGCCATCCCAGAGCCCTCCTCAGATGAGAAAAGACCCCCGTGTGGGTCACGTTAGAGAGACTTCCCTCTGCACGGTGCAGTTTGCCCCCATAGCTTGTGCTCCAGCTGGCATCAATGGGGGCCGACGGCAGGGAGCAGGAAACGCTCAGTGGTGGTGGAAGTGGTGGCGTAAGTGGGAGAAGCGATGTTACTCCGGGGGCAGGCTGGAGGGGAGCTTGGGGCAGGGCAGGAGTGGCTGCTGGGGCAGGCATTGGAGCAGGCTGCAGTGCCTGTTTGGAGCAGAAGGTCTATGGACATGGTGGAGGGGTATCACCAGGGGGTGGGATGGCTGTTGGGATCATTACTGGAGTGGGTATTCGGGTGGAGTTGGGGTAGTGATTGGTGAAGGACATTGCAGTGGAGACCCGGGGCAGTTCTCAGGGTGGATCTGGGGGAGACAGGAGAGCTCTGGAGGCATAATGGGGTGGATACCGAGGTGGATATTGGGATAGGGATCTCATGGCCGGTGAAGGATATTGCTGTGGCTAGCAGGATCATTACTGGGGGTGGGGGGATGTGGGAGCAGGAGGGGGGATCTCACAGTCGATACTGGGGCAGTTCTTGGGGCGGGTGAGTACTGGGGCAGACTGGGGGATATGTGGAAAGCTATTGGGCCAGAGGGTATTGGGAGGGGTGGGGAGTACTGGGACAGGGTGAGGGCATCGAGGCAGGCTGGGAGATATGTGGGATAGCTATTGGCGTGGGGATACTGGGATGGGATGAGGCTGGGGGTTACTGGTGGGATCCCCATTGGGTGGATAGTTGTGGGGCAGGGTGAGGATAGCTACTGGGAGATGAGGCCAAGGGGTTAC